TCTCATCAATGAGTTCTTTTAAATTTACTGCTTAGGAACAATCAGTACTGAATGTGAAATGCATATATGATAATGCACATAACTGCATACAAAAGGCAGAACGTTCATCTGGAAATGCAGATTTAAAATATTCTGAAAGATGGACATATAAAGAATATGTAAACACATTCTCACAAACACACTTTAAAAATGAATGCTTTATGTGTCCTTCTTGTTTAAAATGTCAGCACAGGTTTTTCTTCTTTACAAAGTCTTGCATTGCATATGTTCTTTGAAGGGTTCTTGAATGCATTTTAAATATTAAAAACACGGGGGAACAATTGTAGTAAGCTAAAGGTTTCCACAAGCTCAGTTACTGGAAACGTTGCACTTAAATGTCTTCTGCAGATCTAATCTGCGTTGCTGAGAGTGGTTTGTACATTTTTATCAATGAAATTAGGAATACAAATGCTTCCTGTTCGCACTGCCCCCACAGTTCACAATACTAACTGTCATGCGTCATGTCATGAATTGTGATAGAGATACCCAGTGGTATGGTATAAAAGTTAATCAGGCTATTATGATTTTTTTCCGGGTGATATTTTCCTGGATAAGGACCATAAATCTAGAGAATTTGGCCAATTACTGCTTTCTATGTCTAGCATAGCCTCATTTCTGTGCTAATGAATACTTGAATACAGTTAGACTTTGTCCTGTAGACTTGTGCTCATCAACCTTTTCATATGACTATTTCATAATGATTCCCAGGAGGGTTCAAGTTGGAGCACAAGCTCTGCATAGATGGCATTCCTCCACCTTCCCAAACTCTACAAAGGGGGTCCCTAGCACACTTTCAAGTTAGGCAGCAAAAAAAACAACTAATCTGTCTCAACTGCTCTGCTTTTTTGATCCACCTTCCAGACACTAGTCCTGTTTGTTTTGCTATTAATGGCTTATTTGTTTTGGGGCTGCCTGTGCTTGTCAAGCAGCATTTAGTTTGCATATTAAAGTTGTAACTGATGCCCTCTCTTTGTTTTTGTTAGGTCTTCACTTAAGTACAAAAGAGCCATTGGGTAAGAGAGTAGAAAGTGGTGGTGATAATAGAGAGAATACACAATTGTTTAAAGCCCTGGAGGCTTTTAATCAGCCATTATGACAATTAGGATAGCACACAGCTAATGCATTAACCTGCCATGGCGACTCTTGTGGTAATCACCTTGAACTCATATGTGGACTTAAATAACTTGTGTGCTTCATCTTCTTAATAGCAATATTTAGATAGCATCATTATTTTAGTTTTTAAATTTTTTAACAAATCATGGAGTAGATTTTTTGCAAATGTATCAGGTATTTACAGGAATTAGAAAAATACCCAAAAGAGCAATAACAAAACATGATTTTATATACTCCTTAATGCAATTATTTACTATTCGGGTCTTTATATTTTTTTCCACTTAAGCTTTCACCCACAATACACATTTTTCTAATTAAATTCCTTTAGAAAAATGTGTTAATCCTAGGTGAAATTGTGAGAAATCTTGTGTTTAAAAAATATACATAAATGGACGCCTAAGTATACATTTGTAATGGCTGGGAAAATAATAAAATCAATGACTTCATCAGGTTTCGCTTCTGTTAATCTAATGTATTTTTCTTTCTTTCTTTTTTTTTTTTTGCACTTTTTTTACATTTTTATGCTGTAATATTTTCCTGAAAGCCTAGTGTAGCCAAAATATTAAATGGAAAAATCAGCACAAGAGACATAATTTACGGTCAGTATAATGTGTTCCTTGTGCTGCTGCCTCTGCTGAAATGTGAATACAGCCTGTTAGCTGAAATTCTCTGTCCTTGCTCCCATCCTTTACCACTCTTATCAACCATCCCGCCAACGCCATCATCTGCTGGTGCGGTGGGGGTTTTTACAACTGATAAACAAACTGTTCAATACCTATAGATTCCTCCCACTTATTTCCACCTCAAATCAGGACTCCAGAGAACATATATAAAAATGTGCTTTAAAATCAATACTCCACCAAACATCCAATATGGATCTATCCCAAATAGGAAAGAAATGTAAAAAAGAAATAAGTGAATAAATATTCATTACCAGTCGATTCTCCTTAATATCCAAAATAAGTTACAATATTTGTGTGTGTATATTTCTCACAAAACACAATTAAAATGCTTGGCCAAGAGTGATAAAATAAATGACCTATACCCCGTCCTAATATGTATATACATGTTTATATGAATCAGTGATGGTAATGCAGCTAATCTTTAAGAGACCCTGACTGTGCCTGCTCCTTCCACCCAGATGCTCCATTTGTGGAAGCTATACTGAAGCTTCTATGAATGAAAAAGGATCTTTTTATGGAGGATGGGAGATCATTGATAGCTCCAACCCCTGGGTGTAAGGCATTTCCGGCAAGACGAATCGCGATTATAAATGCGAATAATAATTCCCGGCTGTGCGCAGAAATGCGCGATCGCGCATGTGCACACCAACGGCGAAGATTGGCGCCAGACGGCCCATTTAAAGAGTGTCTTTGCCCATGTTAAGTGCTGACTGGTCTCCCGTGTCCTGCTTGTTCCTGGGTGATTCCTTTGTTGCTGACCCGGCTTGTTCCTGACCTGACTCTGATTGCTCTCCTGATTGATACTGGTTCCTGACTTCGGCTCTGCTCCTGACCTTGGCTTTCCTTCTGATTCTGTACCGTGCTGCCCGACTGTTGATGACCCTGGCTATTCCCATGACACTGCTCCTGTCTCTTGTCCTCATTACCTACCTTGCTCTGGTGCACGCCTGGCAATCTACAAGACCTGCTCTGCTCTGCTCGCTACTACTAAGCCTGAGTCAGAGGATCATCAGCCTTCCAAGGTCATCATCTGCAAGAGCTGCAAACAACAACTACTGGCGCTCTTGTCCCCCTGGTCCGTAGACTCCCTCTGTTCCAACTCCAGCAGGGTCAGGGCTAGTGACACAAGTGAGGCCGACCTCATCATTTCAGTCTCCCATCAGGTGCGTGACACTGGGGGGATTTCACCTAACAGAAGAGGAATCAGTACAATGATTTACCCTACTGACTGTAAGTTATGTCCCTTGTGCTGATTTTTTTTTGTTTTTTTAATTTTGGCTGCTCATAGGGCTTTAAGTATGAAAAGGACTTCTTTTAAATTACATTAAGCGATGTCCTTATTCCCCCAAAATAATCCATTCACATTTACTATGTAATGGTCCTGTAATCTATTTTTCATGAAATGGTTTCCTACTGAGGTTTTCTGCCTTCTTGTAGGAGCAGTACATGTTAATTGCGGCCATGTGCACTGCTCTCTGCACAGTGCAATTTCAATAGCCCATCTTGGGAGTGAGTAAGCCCTGATGCACATGGGCTTCAGTTTGTATAAGAGTAGTGTGAACAGCAAGCTTTTGAGAAAGCATTTGCAGAGCTTTAAGTAAGCTTTGTTGAAGCTTTTTAGAGTACCATCAAGCTCCAGTTTGTAAATGGCAAACACAGATCCTAATGAGAGTACTTATTGCCACTTTAAGGCTTCAGAACTCCTTGAAGCTTGTCAAAAGCCTGCTATTTGGATTTTTTAACCCATTCGTTAAATCTTAGTAAACTCTAACCAAAACGTTTTCCCCTTCAAGGTAAAGGCATAATATGCTAGTATGCATTGCAAAAATATTAAATGAGAGTTCACTACCACTTAAGGATGCTGGGTGTAGTTGCCTGAGTGCACCACTCTGATATGAGAGCTGCAAGGCTTGCTCTTTCAATGTTTCCAGAGAAGCAAGCTGTTCACTGTAGAAGAGGAACTGTTGGATTCTTCTATGCTTCGATTCAATTATGTTCGTACAATTACGGTACACATTAAAAGATAATCAGATGTTGTGTTCACTTGTGATAACATTTTTTCTAGCCTGCACCTTCACTTTTTGTCATCCAAAGAGTTGGAATCAGCTGTCAAAAGTACTATACCAACAATCAGATAATCGGCTAATTGTTCATCGTACAACATTTTTCTTCCAATTATTGACAACTGAGCTTTTGTAACTCAAAGTTCTGAAACGCTGAACATCTAAATACCATGGTTTTCAGTTCACATCCGAGCATAGTGTTGCTTGAAGCTTGTGGGTTGAAAAAATACTTGAGCTTCTTTTGAATTACAAGATTAAAGTGGAGTTCTAGTGAAAATAAAAAAAAAAAACATAAAAGTCCACAACTACAAAAACTGTAGCTGCTGACTTTTACAAAATGGACATTTGCTTGTCCCTCGATCCCATGGTCTCCCCCCTCCCCCCACAGCCAGTTTCACTGGCCGCCCTATCTTCAGTGTGACAGCTTGTGGCTTCACAGCCGGGTGCCCACTGCTCACGCAGGACTAGCACTGCACTTTGTGAATGGCCCCGTAGTCTTCTGGGAGCTGTCACATGTCCCAGAAGACTACGGGGAGGGAGGGGGGGAGGACAACTTCCACTTCCGATCGCCTAGGCAATCGCAGAGGAAGTGGGAGCGGGTACCTACCAAATTCCAATCCTTGCCAATTCTTAACGAGTCCAGTTCTTAAAGCAGAACTTCCCCTTTTGGGTGGGGCTCTGCAGCCTTTTTTGGCCTAAGAAGATTTCAATGAAAGCGACTGAAAAATGTGCAAATACGCTTTTTCTTTTCCCAAGGTGCTAGTTTTCCATTGGCTAAAAAAAAAGACACTCAAGCCGCAGATGGCCACAAAAAGAAAAATCTGCAAAAATGCCTGTACAAACACTCAAAGAAGCCTGCAAAATCTCAAAAGATGCTCTGCTGAAGTGTGAATACAGCCTGAGCATTGTCACCTGTGCTGGAGCTGCCTCTTAACTGGAACTTTGTTACTTTTTTTTGTGTCATCTAACTTTGCTACAAAGTGACTGATGCACTTATACACTGCTTACTTATTGTTATGAAGGAAAAGTAGAATCTGAATGTATTGCACAGATCTGAGTTAGCTGTTCCAAAAAAGTTACATACATACGCTTTAACTGGATTTACACTCATAATTCACCAAACTGCATGTCTGTATGAAGGTTAGAAGAATGTATATCACTCACTAATAAGGTCATACCTATCATCTAATAATGTACAGTATATTTGACCTTTTGCAGAATCTTTACCTTAAGACTTCCATGAATAAAAGGTAATTTGCCTTTGCATAATCTGATTGGAATAAAAGTATTTCATGTTTTAGATTTATGCCATAGCATTTAATTAACTAAAGCAGCTTTTCTGCTAGTAATCGATTGCAAAAACTGGATGCTGAAAGAAAACCTATTGGTAGGAAAAAAAAGACATGCTGCCATTGCTATATTGTTGAGTTACATTGTATTTGGTGTAGTCAACATCCTTTCCAAAGGTTGACTGGGGATGTAAAATATTAATATGATTAAAAATTCTCTAGTCCTGCTGGTCAAAAGGACCATTGCAGATCTTTCTGGACGAAGAGCCACTAGGCAGACGTATAGTTCTAGAACAGTGGTCTCCAAATTGCGGCCCTTTCCTTGCCTTTATCTGGCCCTTGGGGCACTATTCCTAACACTGACACCAAAAGTGGAGCATAATTCCCTCCAACTGAAACCAGCGATGGGACACTATACTTCCCACTAATATCAATAATGAGACACTATTCCATCCACTAACACCAATGATGGGCCAACATTCCTTACAGCAGTAGCAATTATGGGGCACTACTCCTCCTAATGACTAATGACCACAGGCACTATGCAACTGAACACCACACCTGAGACATTGTTTACTTTCACTGATGGTGGACCCAGGACTTTTTTTTTTACCCCCACTGGTCACAATCCACCCCCCCCCCAAAGTGTGAAGGATAGTAAACATTTGTTTGGAATGTTTGGAGACCCCAGTTCTAGAGTTAAAAATCATGACAACTGCATAAATGGAAGCTCATAAATGACTTGCACCTGGTCATGGTTATTTGGAAATAAATAATACATTCCTATTTCAACTAGTCATTTTTGTTGCTATAAATAGATGAAAATATTGATTTTATATTTCAACTGATCTCTTTTTCTAATGGCTATGGTTTTTGGGCAAAGAGAACTTGCTGTTGGCCTAAGCACCTCTGTTTCTTAAGGGACTTTGTGGTATATTTATGGTTTGTTCTTGTTTTTTGCAGTGTGCTGTACAAGTAAAGCTGGAACTGGGTCATCGAGCCCAGGTTAGGAAGAAACCAACACTTGAGGGTTTTACCCATGATTGGATGGTATTTGTCAGAGGACCAGAGCACAGTAACATTCAGCACTTTGTGGAGAAAGTTGTATTTCACTTGCATGAAAGTTTTCCAAGGCCTAAAAGAGGTAAGAACTATTGGCTTTTAACTTATTTTAAACTGCGGTATATTATCTTTCACTTTCAAATGTTGGATGTTGAAATGATGTTGTAGGGTGTCCATTTTTTTTTATTTTTTTTTTAATAAAAGACCTTGGGTGGCTTTCCTTGGTTCTTCTGAATATATTTTGAGACATTGTGTGGACCTAACAGTGGTCACTGTATTACCTCCAGCATTTCTAGAGCAGAAACCCTATGGTCAATCTTGTTAAAACTAGAATTCTTTCTTGTGGTGGGTAAAACATAATCAGAAGCTTATTGGACTAGGGTTCATGTTGGTTTCAAATTTGGCCTGTTCAATCAGTGTGTCAGTTATATGGTTGAATTTGGTAACCTCACGCAGAATTGCTAAAGCCACTTGTCATTGAGACATAGCAACAGTGCCAGTTCATGTGGCTAGATGTGTGCGTGTGTTCTTCTGCATAAAGACTTTTATTGCTGGGTACTGCTTGTTGTTATTAAAGTATTTGGTGAAAAAGTAACAGTTTGGTTTTTCACCTGATCATGTTGCACCTTTCAAACTCCATTCACCCTTTGGGACATTTTGAAAAATACAACCGTACTAGGAGAACCTCCCAGAAACTTGTCTTCTAGCTTTCTCAGGTGGAATAGTAGTAGTGTAAATTATAGTATCTGAAAACATGGGAAATTGTGTTAACTCCAATTGTGTGATATGTATTTTTTGTTTGCATATATATCTTGTAATTAAAAATATAATATTGCGCTCACATTTCCAATCTATATATAGTAAACCTATAAACGTGTATATAATATATTTGAATATCTGAATAAGTGAATATATTTCAACTCACATAAATGAATATATAGCCATCAACTCACATGAATGAAATAGTAAAAAATACTAAAAAAATAGTTCCAACAGCCTCCTCCCCAAGGAAGATGTGCGCTCACCTATATAGCCTGGCTATTAAAGTGTGAACCTACTTGTTTAGGAATGTTGTAGATGAGATAACAATTTAATCCTCTCACTGGATGCTCTTGTCTTCTTATTTCCATGCATTTCCAGATGGTGTCCCTTCTCCAAATGAGAACAAGTCTGAGTTTACAACACAGGGCATTATAATTGTTAAACAACTTTATTTCTGGATAGACATTTGGCTTATAATATTCACATATTCATGGATATGTGTGCTCTTCAAATGCTTAATGGCTTTTGGAAAAGTAAGCAAACTTTCTCTGAGTGGATATTTACTCATGAAAACACCAGTTACATGGACATGAGGTAGCCTGGATATTTACAAACAGGTCGCATTGGGATAAAGTTCCTAAACAAGGGTAGGTGCTAGCCTAATTGCATATTCATTGAGCGCACATCTTCTTGGCACAAGCAGTCACCTATTGTAGAGCAAAAGTTTTTGGGACATTATTATTTTATCAATATATTATTGGATTTCACTATATTTTTAGATATTCTTGGGCTATATATTCATTTATGTGAGTTGTGCTATATATTCACTTATTCAGCAAGTTTTACTATATATAATGGAAGGTTGTGCCCCGTTTTTTCACATTCCAACAAAAGGAATTCATTACTTGACTCGCAAGGTTTTTTCCATATAATTGGGCATATATATCTTGATACCCATTTTATTTGACATTTTTCATCACATTGCTGGTAATGTATTTTCATCATAGTACACCAAAAGTTCAACAGAAGGTATATAGTGGCTGGTGTGATTTTAAGCTTGGCATTTAAAATGAACAGTCTAGTTTAACAACTTTATTTCTGGGATACATTTTATATGTGTGCTCTTCATGCTTAATGGCTTTTGGAAAAGTAAGCAAGCTGAGTGGATATTTACTCTGAAAAACCATACACATGAGGTAGCTGGATATTTAAACATTGGATAAAGGGTATGATATTCTCTGGTGACCATTGTAGGAAAAGTGTTTTGAGATATCTTGATGGGTGTGTATAATATTTTATGACACACCGGGGTTTATTTACTAAAGTGGAGAGTCCAAAATCAGACTCCCTTTTGGCACTCTAACCTCAGCTTGTTTAGCTTAAATGAAACCCCTACCATTTTGACTCTCCAGCTTTAGTAAATAAACCCCACCATGTCCTCAAAAAATTATAAAAATTCAAATATGTGATTTAGCACTGGTTCACATTGCTGTGACATATCATGCAACTTGTGACACATACAGTTGCATGGCACATCAAAACACATTAATTTCAATAGGTGCTATCTTTATCTTTTATCAACTTGACTTGCAGTGGCCCAAAAAATAAAAAGGTTCCAGCCCTACTTTTGTGCCACTTGAATGCCTTGAGTTAAATTGCAAGCAAATTCCATGACTTTAAAGCAGAACTCCACCCAAAAGGGTTTTAACCCACTTCTGGCTGAGTTTGCTGTGGCGATCCCTGGCCCCTTCTCCCTCCCCCCCCACAGCCTTCTGGGACACAGCACAGGTCCCAGAAGACTGCAGGACCTATCACAAAGTGCAATGCCGCAGTAGGAAACCAGCTGCAAAGTCAGAAGGGTTCACTGCTGGTTTCCCTTAGTTAAGATGCCAGGGCCTGCACGTGAAGCTGATTAAGGAAATCGGCTCAGGTGCGGACAAGAACGGACACCGGGACATATGTGTCCTTATATTGAAATTCAGCAGCTACATTATTTTTAGCTGCTGACTTTTTTAAAAATATTTATTTGGAAACCGGAACTCCACTTTAAGGTTCAGCAGTGTGAACCAAGTCTTTAGAAGTGCATTCAGAAATATAAGCACAAGAAGTTTAAAATTGTGTGCAAATTGAATCCTTTTCTCTCAAGGTTGTGTTTGGTACCCCATACCCCTTCTACCACCATAACCACTTTACTGGCCATTGAGGCTGTCCATCACCTTACAGGCTCTAATAGGGAGGCTTGGTAGGTAGAAGAGGACAGGACCAAGTTTAACTTTTTTCCTGCTGAGATTTGCTCTGTCTTCAGCTATAGTATTTATGTCTTTGGTTGGCTGATCAGCTTCATGTTTTAACCTTGAGAGATTCATCATATACTCAGTTTAATCACACTAGAATTGTAATGGGCTTATGCTGATCTTTAACTTTGGTTCTCAGTTTGATGGCTTGGATGAGGAACTGCCCAGAAGTGCATTTTGGTTGCTTCATTTTTTTTTAATGTATTTTTGAGCAATATAAATCTGTTCTTTGTGTTTCAAATCAACTCTCTCATCTTCTCTGTTTACTGAATGATGATTTACTGTTAAGCCACTGTCTGTTGGCTAGTTTTGCAGAAGGATCCTGATGAAGACATTTGAAGCTCACATATGGAACGTTTAAGCACAAAAATGTTTATTTTCAAGAGTTGTGGAGGAAAGACCTCCTGTCCTGATTTAATGTATACATTGTGTATTTCAGTCTTTGATTTGAGTCTCTGTGTAAATAGATATCACTAAGCCCCCATTTGTGGGAAGTACATTAGTCTCTCCGTGATTTGTATATCTTTCTGTTGCTCCCTTCTAACCTTTTTTGTTAGTGACTGATGCAATTGATTCCTGTGATTTATAGGTGTATATGTGTATTTTATCTTTGGTCTGGCTCTAAAGTGAATCTGACACATCTGAAGCAAAAGGTCACCGCAAAAAAAAAAACAACTTTTTCTTAAAAATTCTGTTTTGTCATCAAGCAGTGAAAATTCATTGTGGTAATATTGTTTAACTTACAACATATTTGCAAAAAGCTGAATAAAGTTGAGAGTTCTGCAAAATACTTGAAATTGTAAAAAATGCTAGTGGCCAAAATTTGATGTTGTGTTTGGGCTCGTTCACACTAGGCTGTTTTGCCAACGCTTGCCAAACGCCCCTATAGCTTTTGGCAAGCGTTGGTCCGGCGTTTGCGGAGCGTTATTAACGCTCGGCAAACGCTCCGCAAACGCCGCATGCGCGGTTTAGCAGCGGTTGCTAGGCGTTTGCCGAGCGTTAATAACGCCCCACAAACGCCTATAATGCAGTTTGAGTGGTGTTACCGCTCCGCAAACGCCCCGCAACCGTGTCGCAACCGCACCGCAAACGCCGGCCGGGCGTTTGCGGAGCGGCACCATAGACGAGAATAGCAGGCTTCAAAGCCTCCTGACTCGTCCAGAGGCGTCCGTTTTGCCGCGACGCGACGCAACGCGACGCGACGCAAACGCTCCCGTTAGAACAGCACCATGTGCTGTAATGTGCAGAATTGGCAGCGTAAAAACGCTTACCAAACGCCTCTCTGCCGCCTGCACACAAGGCTAGTGTGAACGTAGCCTTTGGTTGGAACAATAATGCATGCAGTTACATTTTTGTTGTATAGATGTTGGTGTAGCATCACCATGTTCTGCGATCAGCCTGGGGGTTAGGGTTAAGTTATGAGCTAGGTATAGGCTAGGAGGTTAGATTTGGGGTTACGTTTAAGCTAAGAGTAATTACATAACTATCAGTATTTCAATATAGTAAATGTGTTGTTTGAACTAAAGTTTCTTCACCAAACACTAAAGAAAATGGATACATTGTACAGTATGTAACCAGTAATCTGCTGCAAATCCAAAATGGTTTGTTACACAACCATCTTTCCATGAAACGGTGGTAATGAGCCTCAGGTACCTGGTTACTATATGTGAACAATTGCTGCTGAAATTGTAATTCCTTAGTTGCTATAGCTGCTTACCACCACAGCCGATGATAGGACAATCTTCTGCTGTAGTCTTCTTGTAAGCATGTCCACTGACGACACTGTGCAGAATGATAGAGTATGGCTGGAGGAAAATGGTGATGTGTTAATAAATACAGAGCTACATTCATTTGTGTCTTCTACAGTATATCTGCCTGGAGTTAAACTTTGAAGAGTAAAGCCGGCCATGCATGGATTTAAATTTTAGCTGGTTCAGAAGGGACTGGCCAAATTTCAATCCATGTAGGGGTAGGGTGGCTGTACAGAGGTTGATCTATCAA